GAGCCTGTCCGTGCCATTCCAGGGGTGCAGGAGACGGGAAAACCCCAACGCGCCGTCACAGTAGGTTAGATAAATGTCTATCAGGGATGGTCACAGTGCTGGGTCCTGCCATGGGGACAGGGGCCTGGACTCGATGACTCTCGAGGTCCCTTCCAGTCCTAGTGTTCTAGGATTCTATGAACATCCTGCCTCAGCAGTGCCCATGGAGCCAGAGCGGACTGGCAGCTTTCTATGGGGTGCCAAGGAAGCCGCAGTTCAAGATGCCCCCCCCAAGGCCTTTGTCCCGGAGCCTGTCCTGGAGAGAGGGGAGTTTTGCCTCCCTCCAAACCCATCCAGGGCAGAGGGGGGCTGCCCTAACGGGGTATCCTCTGTAGGAGAAAGCCGGAAGCATGGTCTAAGCCCAGACTGCTCCTGACCACAGAGCAGAGCCTGCCCAGGCCGCCTGGGACAGGACCCCCCGCTGTGCGTGCCGGGCGAAGGTGCTGGGGTGCAGCCGGCCAAGCGGGAGCTGTGAGCGCACGCTGGGCACCATGGACCTGACCGCTCTGCTCACACGTGGAGGCGCCAGGGCGGGACGCTGGGGGAATGACCGAGCCGTGTGTTTAGAGGTTTGCTGCTAAAGGCCCCTGAGCTGCAGGCATAGAGACTGCCGGCAGGGCTCCCGGGCATTGCTTGCAAGGTGCTGGGGTGCAGCCGGCCAAGCGGGAGCTGTGAGCGCACGCTGGGCACCATGGACCTGACCGCTCTGCTCACACGTGGAGGCGCCAGGGCGGGACGCTGGGGGAATGACCGAGCCGTGTGTTTAGAGGTTTGCTGCTAAAGGCCCCTGAGCTGCAGGCATAGAGACTGCCGGCAGGGCTCCCGGGCATTGCTTGCATGCCGAGAACCCGGCTGCCACTCAGCTGCGGGAGGGGAAGTGGAGCCGTGTCGCACACACCTTCACCATTGCTTGCACGCTCGCACACGGCTGTGCCTGGGAGCACAGATGGCACCTCCCCGCCCCCGCAAGAGAAAGACACACTGCAGCTCCCGGGTAGTAGAAGGGAAGCTACCGGCCAAACCCTCCTCCCCAGCTCGGAGAGGCTTGTGGGAGTGCACCGACCTGCCGGAAGCCCAGAGAGCTTCTCCCCTCCACGGCGCCACCGAGGCAATGGGCGAGCCCGAGCATCTGCCCACGAGCCGCCTGAGGGCCTCGGACGTAGCCAGAGCCTCGGTCACAGCTCAGCTGGGCAGGCTCAGAGGGAGCCCCGCCGGGCGTGCAGGCAGCTGGAATCCCCCTCCCCTGCAGGCCTGGCTGTCCCTGGGCAGGGCCGTGGTGTCCTGGGGCTCAGTGGGGGCCCCGGGCAGGGGGAGGTCAAGGGGCACAAGACCTGGGTGTAGCTCCGCTATTTGCCCTCTGGCACAGCTGGCAGCAGAGACCCCCCAGGACGGGCCAGGCAGGCGCGTGTCCTGGGGCTCAGTGGGGGCCCCGGGCAGGGGGAGGTCAAGGGGCACAAGACCTGGGTGTAGCTCCGCTATTTGCCCTCTGGCACAGCTGGCAGCAGAGACCCCCCAGGACGGGCCAGGCAGGCGC